GAACGAAGAAAGCTAAAATCATGAAGTCATCATGATTTCCCTTGATCATTCTGCTTGTCACTGGCCATGTTAAAGCTATTCCAAAAGCTTTCGATTAGACAATCTCTACCGAAGTCGGAAAGTTGATTAAACCTAAGCTTTAATTGTGGAGCTTGACAACTTTTCATTATCAGACGAGGAAATAACTCATTATCTTTCGATTTCAATCTTTGGAGGAGGTGGAGCCGACTGCGTACCATGAACATATGGTTCTAGGCAATCATCATTATCACTCGGAAAAGGCATAGCTTCCAGTCGTAATCTTTTGCTCTCCAAGCTAAAATGATTATGCTTTCTTTGTGTATTGTGGCAAAATAATAATTGTACTACGTACCATTTCTCTTAATTTCTTGTGTTACTACTAACATCGTAGGAAAAGACAAAAATTAGAGCGCAGCTTTAGCAACAATAAGAGTAAAATTCAGAGGAATAGAATTGCATCTAAAAGTTGGTTCAACCTATGATCATTCGAGAGGGATGAGTTGGGTGATTTAGGAGGAAGGAGTGACTCTCCCACTTATACTTCAAAAAAAAAATAATTTGTGATCGTATGATGCAAGTTTTATTTATTTTATTATTTTTTGGTTAATTTCTTGCCACTGTATTGGAGAAGAGAGAGAATATCTTTGGTGGACCGTAGGGCTTAGGTACGGGCAACGTACGGAATTTCTTTAGCTTACATATTCTTTCCCTAATTAATTAACTTTTATTGAACATCATTTCACCTTGCTATAGCACTATAAACCTCATGAAAAAAAAAGCAGGACAAAAATAAGTCAAAAAAAAATATAAGAATGGTTTTTTTTTTTTGGTTCTAAGAGAAACTCCAAACCTTATAAAGGAGAAAGAAGAGCGCACAAATTTTAAGAGTTGAACCACTAACATTGCAATTTTAAGAATTTTTTGGTTTACTCTTTTTTTTTTTAAATAAACAGGAGGTTTTAAATTCAGAATCTCTCGTTTACAATTTCTCCCCTTTTTATCACTCAATCCAACATTCCTCCATTTCTCTTTTGATTTTGTTCTCTAACCCGGAATTTTTTTTTTGGGTTTTTTTTGGGGGCTGGAGGGTATGTTCCTAAATAGTACAGAAAATAGATGCGGCCCATGTGGCCTAAAAGAACATCTTCCATAGTTTAGCTAATAGTTATGGCCCAAAAGCCCAAACAGGTCTTCACCATGGTTGAAAAACACGCCTAGCCCAAATATTGAGAAAATGGGATGATCCAACCAGAACACGGGCCAACCTCTCCATATAATGACTTTTAGGTTGCCCACTAATGGTCCATGGTCCAAAGTTTTAACCAACAATTACGGTGCAATTGCTGCAATATTTCCCAAAATTTTTGTCATAAATCCAGGAATTAGTAAAAATCAAATTATAGAAAAAATCACTTCTTGATGAAGTGTAATGCAGAAATGCTAAAACGGATGTACATAATTTAAAAAATCTGCACTTTTCTTGTAATTATGGTCAACTTAAAGGAATATTAAATGTAATTACAATATAGAAGGTGCATTTGGATTTTAGATATCCAAAAATATTTTTTATTTCTCAAAAAATGTAAACCAAAGTCTTCAATGTACTCATTACTCATTTCATGCAGTTCTAATCCTCTATTAGATAATGTACTCATTACTCATTTCATGCAGTTCTAATCCTCTATTAGATAATGTAAACCAAAGTCTTCAATGTACTCATTACTCATTTCATGCAGTTCTAATCCTCTATTAGATAATGTAAACCAAAGTCTTCAATGCTATTAGATAACTATTTTTTGTACATTTTATTTTGGTGAATTTTCTACATACGTATTGTCAAAATATAAAACCAATTTTATGAAAATGATTTTAGTAAATATACTCAAAAAAATTTATAAATATTTTTTCTATTAGTTGCACACACACTAGTGTGTGCCTTGAACACCGGTGGTTATTAAGGACATGGAATTGGATATCGAAAAGTACTACATTTCGTATTTAGAGTGAAAAAAAAAAATTCGCAATCGTCGAGGCAAAGCCTAAATAAAGTTGATATTGCACTATCTATTACTCCCTCCCTTTTTTTATAACTGATGTTTAAAGTTTTGTACACCAATTAAGAAAAGTTTTTCATTGTTTAAATCTGTACACTACTTTCCTTTTGTATCATCAGTAATTGTCCAATTCACCCATGTTTTCTCTTACTAGAGTACAAAGGGGGTTCAACATACTGCGAGAAAAGAAGAAAGAATACGAAGGGGCAGATAATTACTAGGGTTGTTACAAAGAGAGAAGCAATAATTACTAAGAGTAGTAATTAAGAACCCTGTATTAGAAAAGAGAGATAAAATGGTAAAATTGTGAAAAAATAATTAATACTGTACGGGAATAATAAAACGACAGATAAAAGTACACTAGAGCAAATTTCTTAAACGTCAGTTATAAAAAAAGGGAGGGAGTATTATGTTAAATCTTGGCATGTTTGTCCGATCCTCTTTGGTTATTAGGTTAAATTGTTAATGTTAATCACTTTAAATATGAAAAAATGGCCATGACCTTTGACTGCCCGAGTCGGCCAACTAAATAATTAATCAATTAAAGTTATTTTGGTTTTCCTAACTCTTTGTCTTTTTGGGTGACTGAGCAAAGTTTGAGTTTAGATATGCTATGTGTTACGAACACGAAAAGTTTGTCTTCCCTTCCACTTGTTGCCGCCACTGAACAGGGATGGAATTCGGGTTAGATTCATAATGGAAGATGTTAAGCATCGATGAGAGAGGTTAATACGTCATGGATTAGTGCCATTTTCCTGCATGAAGAAGACTCGTGGAAATGGGAAACAGCAACGGACCAAAAAAAGCTACGCTATCATATCCATCACTAAATCGCCCATTTGAATAAAAAAAACATTTATTATAGTACTGTTACTTTAAAAAGGACAAGACATAAGAGGAATTTTTAGGTTACAACAGACAGATAGTTAGAGAATTTGTTCCAATTGAAAGTTCAATCAATGCTTCCTTTGAATGGCCTTTGTCAATTTCATCCAATCTTGTGTTCTCATCAGAATCCCAATAGTGTTTGTGATATGATTGCCATGTTTGGTCTGCCATGTGTGAAAATCCTTTAGCTTGAATCTATTTTTCATTGTTTTCCCATATTCGACAAAGTCTTATAACAAAGAAAGAGGGGATCGAGGTAAGTTTGCTTATTCTACTTATTTTATTTTTTATTGAATACATTTTTGATTGGTGTGGATTAAATAAATCAGGAATTGTTTCACCACGTCCTTATTTATTTTCTCATCTACACGTGTAGAAGAGAATTATTTAGATATGCAGTGTCAATCCAACGATTTGATCATCAATTGAATTTATTGTATTTTTTTCATATATTCTTTTCACAACATTTATATTGACAACAGTGTATCGAACAAATATAATTTATTGTGATAAGTCAAGTAGATCTATTTACTTTCGTGCCCTAGGTTTGTTTGTTTTTTTTTACTTTCAAACCGTAGGTTCTATTATATGCAAGGTTTTTTTATTGATTGAAAAAGTAAATTAAGGGGGGTCGGTCTATAAATTTTGATTTTTATCGATTTTTTTCTGAGAATTTCTTGTATTTTCATCTGCCTCTATTCATTTCATTTTTATGTTTTTGTTTTGAATGCATTAGAAAATCCTTTAGCTTGTGACATGTTTTCTACATTTTTCGTGAACACATTTCTTAATTATCTTTTTACCTCATATATATATATATATATATATATATATATATATATATATATATATATATATATATATATACTGCAGCATATTTTCTATAGAAACTCCAAAAAATTTCTACATTTTTCGTGAACCCATTTCTTAATTATCTTTTTACCTCATATATATATATATATATCAAATTGCTGCAGTATATTTTCTATAGAAACTCCAAAAAATTTCTACATTTTTCGTGAATACATTTCTTAATTACCTTTTTACCTCATATATATGTATATATATATATATATATATATATATATATATATATATATATATATATATATATATATATCAAATTGCTGCAGTATATTTTCTATAGAAACTCCAAAAAATTTCTACATTTTTCGTGAACACATTTCTTAATTACTTTTTTATCTCATATATATATATATATATCAAATTGTTGTAGTATATTTTCTATAGAAACTCCAAAAAATTGCAATTCAAACAAGGCAAAGATCTTCCTTGTTGAGCTCCATTTTTGGAGAAGTTGTATGTAAAATATTTCTACATACGAAATCAATATCTAACAGAGAAACTTAGGAGATTCGTATTGGATGCTTTTGCATTTTAAATGGATTTCTCTAATAGGATTAAGAAAGAAGTACTACTACTATTACTTTGATGATATCTTTAGCACTAGTGCCTTTTTTTTTTTTTTTAAAAAAAAAAGAAAGAAATCTTTTGTCGTTGTGCCTAAAGCACATTATTATTTTTACAAAGAAAGAATTGTTTAGTACTAGCAGGTACTTGCTTTGGTTTCTTCCACAATTCTTGAATCTTTGTAATGTGCACGCCATAACAAAACGCTCACACAATACCAAGGTAAAAAAAAACACAAAGAAATCAAAATGAACACAACAAAAAGAAATCAAAATGAGATCCTTTTGAAGTCTTTTTCTGCAAAATTTATAAGCATGGTAATTTTATGGATGAAATCACACATCTTCAATTAAAGAACGTGATTAATTGACCATTAACACGTTTAGGAGCCATAATTCAGGAGACCATTCAAACAAACACAGCAGTGTCCAGGTTCATCCTCTCAGAATCTTCCCATAACTTTATCCCAAAACTTTCTTATTATAAGTCCAACGTAAATCCCTCCAAAACTTCCAACTCAGTGCCTGTCTTCCTCTTCCATAAAGAAACCATTCTTCGGTTTGGCAAGAATTAGATTAGTATTAATTGGCATAAAGCCTAAAGCCTCCACCATTATCACCCCCTCGCCATCCCTCAAATTTTATTTCCCAAAACACCCCTGCTTCATAAACACAAACCTAAACTTCATTGCCCAGAGAACCCCTCTTCCCCTCTTAAACTACAAATTTACCCCACCCCAACCAAGATCTTTCTTTTCCCGAAGTACCCTCCATTCCTTCCCTCTCCCTCCAATATTATAACAAAACCCAGACTGCCAACCCAGAGACACCCAACTGAGGGAAAAGGAGAGAGCTTTTAATCCCCATTTCAATGGCGACAATGGCCTCTCTTTTCCTCAAAACCCCGACTCCATCACCATCTTTGCCGAAAACCCAGAAAACCCTTTTCATCCCACCCCTCACTTTCACTCTTCCCAGCCGCCCCACCTCCAAAACCCGTTTAAAAGCTCGGGTTTCTTGCGGGTTGATCGAGCCGGATGGTGGAAAACTGGTTGAGCTCTTCGTTGAGGAGTCTCATAAAGACGCCAGAAAAGGGCAAGCTTTGGGTTTGCCGTCGATTAGGCTCTCGACTATTGACCTCCAATGGGTTCATGTGCTCAGCGAAGGCTGGGCCAGCCCATTGAAGGGCTTTATGAGAGAGTCTGAGTTCCTCCAAACTCTTCATTTTAACTCGCTCCGACTCCGTGACGGCTCAGTCGTTAACATGTCGGTGCCAATCGTGCTCGCCATCGATGATTCTCAGAAGCAGAGGATCGGTCAGGAGAGCTCCGTGGCGCTTTTGGATGATCAGAACAATCCAATTGCCATTTTGAAAGAGTAAGGACATTTTCGTCATTTTATTCTGTATGATTGTTTGAGAGAGTGTATGTATCTGGTGATTAGTTTTGTTTTAACATTATCCGGTTTTTATTGATTTTAGCTAATCTCATTGGCTTTCAATCAATTACTTGACTTTTAATGGGTTGTTGTTGATTTTAGCCTATCTCATTTGCTGTCAAATCAATTATGTGAGGCTTTTTTTTTCTTTTGGGTGGTTGACGGCGTGATAAAAGAGGACTGTTTACAATAAAAATTGGAATCTTGATGTTTAACTACAAAAAAAGAAGTTGGGTTACTAATGGAAAGATTTTCTGTCATGAAAATCGTGACAGCTATGTTTAGTTAATTCAAGTTCGTTGGAGTAGAAAAGAAGCTAAAGATTTTTTTTAAAATTTTTTTATTTTATGAAATCAATTTCTTGTGAGTGTAACATTAGTACTTCACATGTGAAACCATGCAGGTGGGAATTATTTTCATATTTGTTCTTTGGTTTTAGGAAGTTAGCTGGTTTATGTTTTAGGAAATTTACTGGTTGTATAAACAGAAAAATGTCTAATACTTATATTACTCTTTCTTTTCTGACTAATTTTGAAATTTAGTTGGTGATATGTGGAAAACAGGAATGGGTACTTCCAAACTGTTTTCTGGGATTGTCAAAATGAAATAACTGGTGATCCCAATTCACTGATGGAGTTTAGTGTCACTTTGTTTCGTTCATGTGGGAAGTTGGAGACCTATGTTTTCATGAACACTAGTAAAGAAATAAAACATCTGCCTGAGATGAGTTTTAGAGAAAAGCTTATGCAGAATGGTTACATTACATAGCAAAATCTAGAAAGAGGCTTAGTGTGTCTTCTAACCAGGGCATGAGGCAGCTAGCCTTCAGCACGAAAATATTTGTTTTGTTAGGACTAAACACCATAGCTTTAAATAATTGGAAAATTATCAATCATTCAGTCGCCTTTTGGCGAATGTTTAGTATACATACACTAGAAAAATGCCTGATGGGTTCATTTCTAATTAAATAGGTTTTGCAGGAACATACATCTTTTATATGAATTCATCGGTATTTTTAACCAACGTGGTAGCGTGTTTGTTGCAATTGAGATTGCTTTTACTTTGAATGGCCTTTTACTTATTCTTCGGCACCAGTTTTTCATAAAATTTACCTTTTTGCTGCTCTTGAAAAGGACGCAAGTTGGCTGGTCTTCTAAAAAATATTGCACTTTAAATAATACGTAAATTCATTTTGCATGCATGGGTATGTTACTTTTTCTCGTCCCTCTTGAACCACCATTCTTTGTTTGAATAGGGTTTTCTATGGTGTTCTTTTTACATGCTTTCGGCGCTCTGTGTTAGTGAAAGGACACAAGACAAGATGAGTCCCATTTCTGGAAATAGAATTTTAGTACTTTTAAAATGGAATAGCAAACCTGTTTGTGGCAGAGCCCTATAAGATGTCATAACTTGTATATCTAATACTTTATGAATCCTCCTATGCTACTTTGCTCAACCACTTTTTGGAAGTACTGTATTTACCTAAACTTGGCCCCTTTTGGTAGAATCTGTTGCTATCAAAGTTATAAAAAGCAATTAGCTGAAAATTTTTTGATTACATTGATAACTGATTTGTTGAGTTCATACTGATTTCTCATATTGGAGGGATGTGCAACTAACAACATTTCATGCTTCAAACTGTTTGCACAACCAAATATATATATATATATATATATATATATATATGGAGCACTCATCCGTGTTCGGCTTACTGGATAATGGGCTACAATATATCTAAGCATGATTACCAAATTGGATAGTGTAAGTCTTCAGATATGATGTTGCGAGACAGAGGCAAAGTATATAAGTTTCGAAGTTTTGACAGGAATGGGTATTGCAAGTACCTGTTCCTGTTTTATGCAGTGATGTAATCCATTTATGGTGGGATTGTGCTTCATGCTTGATGTCTATCTTACACTTAATGGTGGTTTATACTGTACTTCTCCTGTTAATTGTGATTCTTGTGGTTTGATGCCTATCTTTGGCTTCTTTTTCTTCTTCTTCTCCAAAGTTAGATATGCCAATTTCCAAGCTTCCAAATCTAACCAAATAGATTAATAGAGAAGACATCACCTATTTCCTGCTGTCCTGAATATATTTCAAAGTTTTTGACTTGCCTGGTATTTTAATTTCTCATCTATGATATCGTACAATTGCAGCATTGAGATTTACAAGCACAATAAAGAAGAACGTATAGCAAGAACATGGGGAACCACTGCCCCTGGCTTACCTTATGTTGAGGAAACCATTACCAATGCTGGAAACTGGCTGATTGGCGGTGATTTGGAGGTTATTGAACCGGTGAAGTATAATGATGGTCTTGACCGGTTCCGCCTCTCTCCATCAGAACTACGTGAGGAATTTACAAAGCGCAATGCTGATGCCGTGTTTGCTTTTCAACTTAGAAATCCTGTCCATAACGGTCACGCTCTATTAATGACTGATACACGCCGCCGGCTTCTGGAGATGGGATATAAGAATCCTATACTTCTGCTTCATCCACTTGGAGGTTACACCAAGGCTGATGATGTTCCACTTAGTTGGAGGATGAAACAACATGAGAAGGTTTGTATAGCTTTACAATTTGACCTGCAATGAGTTTGTTAAAAAATAGTTTCCTTATGTCAGACCATGTGACTCATGATGAAGAATTTTACTCGCTTGTTTTCCATTGATGGATTTGGAAGTCTATAATGTCCAAGTGATAACATGGCAATTTTCATCAGATATGTTCACTTTGCGATGCCTTCTGGGCATTGGCTGGTCTCATCCTGTGAATCAGGAGAATAACAAAAAAACAATAAAAGCTAACCAATCTACTGCAAGGATTTTGTTGAACTTGGTGGCTGTTTCATATGAATCCACTTCTGTGATTGAAATCAAACCTCATTTGCATCCTGATTTGGATTCTTTATTCTTGTAGGTGCTTGAAGATGGTGTTCTTGATCCAGAGACCACTGTGGTATCTATATTTCCATCACCAATGCACTATGCTGGACCAACTGAGGTACAATGGCATGCAAAGGCTCGCATCAATGCTGGTGCTAACTTTTATATTGTGGGTCGAGACCCTGCTGGCATGGGCCATCCACTGGAGAAAAGAGATTTGTATGATGCAGATCATGGGAAGAAGGTACTGAGCATGGCTCCTGGACTGGAGCGGCTGAGCATCCTGCCTTTCCGGGTAAATAAACTGTCTTCTTCTGATTATCTTTCAGAAGCTAAATATCAAACTCTAACCAAAAAGGGAATTAAAGTAGTCATTTGGATATTAATTAGTTGGCTTTTACTGCAGGTGGCTGCATATGATAAAACTCAGAGTAAAATGGCATTCTTTGATCCATCAAGGCCACAAGATTTTCTTTTTATATCCGGGACCAAGGTATCATCCATGTGGCATTATTTTACCTATTCTTTCTGTATATTATTTCGATCTTTTCCATTTGTTGATTGTTCTATTTAACCACCTGAATCGATTTCTCTAAGAGGCAAATATTGCTAGAACAACTTCTGCTTTTGGCTTCCTTGTGTGTGTGTGTTTCTAACAGTATGCATGCCTTTATCAGATGCGAACACTTGCAAAGAACAGGGAGAACCCCCCAGATGGATTTATGTGCCCTGGTGGCTGGCAAGTCTTGGTTGATTATTACGAGAGTCTAACCCTCTCTGAGAATGGAAAAGTACCTGTACCTGTCCCAGCTTGATAAAATGAGCTGTGTAAATATGTACTATTTGATGTTTGGGAGAAACCTTGAATCTCTAAATCTCCAACGTCTGGGTTTGAGAATTTAGAAAAGACTCTGCTGGAGCTGGATTGTGAATCTTGCTGAGGCATTGTTAAATAGAGTGGACACTTCGCCTCATATCTTGTAATGCAACATGCACATGCATCGTGTGCTGTTGTGTAAGTGTGTGCTGTCAATGAAGAAATGGATTGTGAATTGCTTGTTAAAACATACAAATCTCATAGCAGTAGCTTTTACTACAACTTGGATGATCAGGACTGCGTCATAGTTAATGCAGCAAGTGCAGAATCAGTTAAATCAGACAAGAATTGGAAGAAAAGTTGCATCGATGTGTTTGATGGTCTCGATGTTGAATTGACAGCCAATTTTGACAAATCATGAATTCATTGTCGAAGTGAAAACGTATAAAATTATGGGATTTTTTCAGTTTACCCGCCTAAACTATGAGCAGATAGCGAATACCCCTGAAATTTTATAAAGGTAAACGGCAGCAGTTAGATTTTTTTTTCTCTTTTCAGAGGAAATATGTGATAGTACTTCCCTACTCTAACCTTATACTAATCATGGATACGTGAGGGACCTATGATTATTTTCGTTAAAAAAAAAGAGTCAGTCAAATTGACATTACTAACATTGTGTAAGAAGAACAACTTTGTTTAATGTTTAGTCCATTGCTTCCATTCCATGTTAGTTGCTCTGTATCTGCAAAATTATTCATCAGTTCTACAGTCAATACCTGAAGAAAGAATTATCATTCCAACAACATTTTAAAAAATTTTCCTTCTGATGTAATTCTCTAAAGACGTTTACTTGATTTATCTTTCGTGTTAATATGACAAAGAGCTGCCAGAGAATTAAGGATGTTTTCGATAGCAAATACCCCTCAACTTTGATAAGTAAACGGCGGTAGATAGATGCTCCCATGCTCTAACCTTACACTAATAATGGGGGATGAGTGAGGAATGTATGGGGGATGAGTGAGGAATGTATGGTTATTTTCGTAAGCCATAATGTCAGTCAAAGGGAAACATTAATTTGGCATTACTAAGATAGTTTAAGGACTACATGAGCAATTTCGTTTCTTATTGTTCTTTGCCTGCAAACACTTTTTTAGCTATATTTCATTGCATCATTGAGTCTTGTGTCTTGACCGTCCAAAACTAACAAAACAAAAAAAAAAGATTAATCTTTCTTACACGGACAAGGTATATACTATTAACGTTGAATGAATGATAACTATGCAAAATTTGAATTTGAAATTCAACTTTTACACATATTATGAAGGTGTGTCCATTGTCAGTGTATATAAGATTTACTTAAAACAAAAAAAAAAAAAATGGCTAGACTTGGAGGTCAACGGAAGTGAACGGAGCCCCAAGTCGTCTCTCAGTCTCCCTAACACACATTAAATGACAAATGTTTGCTCACTAACTACTGGGCAGAGAGGTGAAGCAAGTATGAACTGAATAAATTGATCAGTTGAAGTGCTACTTTGGTTAATTCAGGTTAGACATGTTTGTTTCTTCCCTCTCTGCCTCAAAATTATGCATGCATTCCAAGACAATTTACAGTTCTATTTGTTGGGTTTGTGTGAAATTGGAATTGCATGTATTGATTGTGTTTATGATGGGTTCTCTAGAGCTGCTAGTAGTACAATGCATGCTAGATTGCCTCCTTGTTGACTTCCTTTCCTGGCCTCAAAAGTTAAACCAAAAGGAGATATGTTATATAACGTATTGTATTGTCAAACAACTACTCCAAACAGAAGAAAGTATATCTACCAGGGAGTAATAAAGCATGAATGAAAGAAATTTGAGATTTTTGCTTCATTTGGAGTGTGGGTAAAACCCATCTGAACAAATTTACTGTAGTTTAAAGCTTCTAAATTCTTATTCCATTGGACGGATTTTGAAACTTCCCTGTTATGTTTCTATTCAGCTAGATATAGGACAACCTCACTTACTGAGGATAATTATCTTAGTCAACAATCTATGCTCCATTACAGCATTTTTTTTTTAAATATTTTCTGATACATAGGCTGTCATGTTAACCAAATCAATTTAGGAGAATGAATTGGGTTTTTGCACATTTTGTTGGATTGGACGGCTGTTAAACGTTGGCTGCACCTTTGAACTTGTGTCTTGTGAACTTGGTTCTCTTATAGCCAGTATGTAATCTAGTCTAGGTAATAAGATCATGGATCAATTAATGAATCCGTGGAACCAGACGGATTAGACGTTCATGGTTTTCAACTGCAACGGCAGTTTAACTTCTTCACCAGAGTCTTCGTTACAAATTGAATCTGGTGCCTGACTCTAAATCTGCCCTGAACTAGGTGAGTTTGGATAGGTTTTTCAATAAGATGGCACGAAGCAAATTGTCCTTATATGATACTTGTTTACAATCCATCCTATGTTCCTCTTAAGCTTTCTGTGAGGAGCATCAGCAGGGCATTTTTCTCTGATTCTGCTGTCAGCAAATAAGTTACATCAATCCTAGATATGTATGAAGAAAAGGTGAGGTTTCCACATGTTAAAGCCAAAGAAGAAACGGAATTCACCAAGAGTTCAAATTTCTTCATGAAAATGGTATATAGAAGATACTGAATGACGCAGGCTGTCTTTACCTTGATATAGAAGACCTTGGTTAACTTGGTTCTAAACAGTTCAAACCTACTGGTCAATAAAATGAATAAAGATCACAATTAAGGTATGTCAAAATGTCTAAAAGCGAAAGATGATGTTGGAAAACCTTAGTAGAATCTCTTGTATTGCATAGGACTTATGAATCCACAACTGCAGCTTCTGATATTAAAAAATTTACCATTTTGAGTTGCTGTAAGGTTCATGATTACTCTTTTCCACTTTCAGAGTATCCTAGTCGATGATCTTCCTGTTCTGCCCACTTATTTGGACGCACATATTGCCCTGTCTATCTTCTTTCTGTAAAATGTAGTTTACTTTCTTGCAATCAGTTCTTTTAAGTTCTATATATTTCCATTAACCCAACTTTCTTAGTAAATTTCGTGAGACAATTGAGTGTCAGAATTGTTCCTGTTCTACAGTCCGTATAAAGCAAAGAAATATGAAAGCTTATATAAATTTAACTATTTCAATCCTTTCATGTATTTTATGACTTAGCATCTGGGAGTTAACTTAGATCTTGAGGAATTGGTTTCCTCTTTCAACTCTAGACCACTGCTGTGCAAGATGCACCACATGCATTAATTATATCAGTTTACTGTGTAATCCACAGCACCTCTAGTAGAACATGATAGACTACACAGCAAAACCTATGTCATCAGTGGTGTTGATTTGTAAAACGTCAATTATTGAGCATGAGAAATGAAAAATATCAGACATTAATGATATTTGTTACTGATTATTTTCTCAAGTGGTATAAAAACAGCAAAGGGTTGGTTAAGCTATACTGAGGTCTCTAAGCCACTATGTTTCCGTACCTAGGATACTAAAGATAAGCAAACAGCAGAAAAATTTACAGATAGCTCAACCTAACAGTTGAAATTACAGAAGATTAACTTTGCTAATAAATACTTATCAGATGGGCCATATGAGTTTTACTCCAGCAGCTTATAAATGTGAAGAAAATGGATATTTTATCCTCTCGACTAGCCACCCAATTGGCCAAGCTAGGACAGCAATTCCAATGCATATAATCCATTGCTTCCAAGACAGTTGCTTTGTATCTGCTAACTCCTTTAACAGTTCCACAATCAATACCTGCAGTAGAATTATCGCTAGGATTACACCCCAAAACATTTTCCTTTTATGTATCCCTTTGAAGAAGTTTCCTTCAACTCTTTTCGTGTTGAATATGACAAAGATCTCCCAGAGAACAAGGATGTTGAAGATCATGGTATCCTTTATTTTGGCATCCAGGTTGAAGGTTGATTGACCTTTGAACTGTATGGTCAGGAGAACAATGATAGGATAGACAGCTTGTCCCACTATATTCTTCCACATGATGCTGGTTATAAATGGACGCTTCTGGTTGACTGGTGGCAATTGTCTGAGCTCTTCTGGTGGTTCCTCAATGGTGATAGCAAGCGCAGCCAATGCACCAACTATCAACTTCACCCATAGTACTTGAAATGCTGCATATGGGACTTTACCTGATGAAATGGCTGCAACAATATTGATAGTCGGAGGTTCTTTAGCAGAAACTGCTGTTACGAAGTCTATCACAAGACAAGCAATGCTAACAGAAAGTTGGAACTGTGCGTACATCTGGATTTTGTGATACATACCTCTACCCCACCTCAATACTCTGGCTACAGAAACAAAATTATCATCCAAAATGATAATATCCGAGTTCTCCTTTGCTTGGCTAGTCCCTTGAATTCCCAGAGAGAGACCTGCATCAGCTTCCCTTAGCACAGTTGCGTCCCCTATGCTATGTCCAGTAACTGCAACGACGTGGCCTCTCTCTTTCAAGCCTTGGACCATGTGAAGTTTATCCAAAGTAGAAGCTCGTGCCATCACACGGATTGTGCCACATTTCTCTTTTATCTCTGTTTCTGCATTACTTTGCAAGCTTTGACGGTCCACTAATTCATCTGTTGTCTCATCTTGAGTTGGATCAATAATACCACATTCAATGGCTATGGCTCTAGCAGTGGGAAGATCATTTCTTGTGACCAGTTTGATGTCCACTTCTGCTTCCCGGCAGTCCATCACAGCCTTTTGTACCTCTGGCCGACATGGGCATTTCAAGCCTAGGCACCCTATGAAAGCTGAGTTTTCATCACTATGTTCTTCTGACACTTCTTTATGTGCAAAAGCTACGCAACTGAGACCATTAGACTTCATCTTCTGAAATATTTGCTCCAAGTTTCTTTTTGCATCAATAGACATAGGTTGGACGATCCCATCTTCATCATAATATTGCGAGCACGTGGCCAGTATGATTTTTGGTTGGCCTTTCTGGTGCACATGAATAGTATCACTGGTATTCCTCTTGATCCATATGCTACTTTGAGTGTTCTCAGAATTGAAGCTTTCTGGACTGTGAACGGCACAATTTGCTCGAACTTGTTCAACATTGACTCCCATATCTTGGACACTCCACGCCTGAATTGTACTGTGAACTTGACTCTCAAAAAGTTCAATGGGAGATCCTGATGAGGCTTCAGTGCTTCTTAAAAGCATACCTTCACGGAGCAGTCCAAGAACATTTCTTGGGATGATTGAGGAAGTTCCTGCATTGAGAAGCTTGTTGCCGAAACAAAATTGGCTTACTATCAGATGATTCAAGGTAAGACTTCCTCTTTCATCTGTGCAGATTACATCTGCGGAACCAACTGCTTCACAGGCTGAAAGATTTCTTACTAGTGCCTTTTGAGATGCCATCCTGTTGGTTGAGTAAGCAATGGTTATCATGACAGCTAGGAGCAAACCTTCAGGGATGGCAGTTGCAGCAATAGCAACTGGGGTGGCTAGGATCCCTATCAGATCATTGCAGACTTCATGGATATTTGTCTTCCCTGCAGTGAAGTCTGATTTTCCATCCTCATTCCGCATATTCCCGACAAAGTAACGAACAAGCAGTACTACCAGCACCAAGGAAGCAACCATTAAACCGACTTTAGATATTTGTATCGTCAGCTCACGTAGCTTCCTTTGTAATGGAGTTCTTTCCTCAATATCATAGCTTTTTGAGCTCAGCATCTTCCCCCATTCTGTGTTGATGCCGACTGCAGTCACAAGCATTCGAGCAGAACCGTTGATCACCTTCGTGCCAGAGAGAAAGAATGGATTACAGCTTTCATTGATTTCGACTGATTCCCTCCAAGCTGCGATGCATGACTCGTTCACCTGTAAAGGGTTCCCATCTATGAATAAGCCATCAGCAGGAACTTGGTCTCCAGTCTTCAAACAAATAATATCCCCAACAACGGCTTCAAACACTGAGATGCGCATCTGTTGCCCATTTCTGATGACGGAGACGGAGAATTTGTCACGAGCTTTCCATAGCTTAAAGAATTGTCTTCTTGGCCAGAGGTTACTCGTGGCAGTCACCATGATCACAAGAATGACAGCGACAAATATGCTTCCCCCATCAGACCATCCTCTCCGCCCATGACGTGTTATACCAAAACAGACTGAAAGTGTTGCACAGACAAGTAGGATAATAATGATGGGATCTCTGACGGTCTCAAGCACAATGGGTAAAGTTTTTGGAGTTGGCTTCTGGATAGTGTTTGAACCAAAGTTATGGCGCCTACGTGCAATTTCCTCATCATCACCTTGGATACCGCTTTCAGCATCGGATTTGAGATATGAGGCAACTCCTGGAACGCCTCCAAGCTGATGAAGCTGCTCGATGTTTTTGTGGCGGGCAAGCTCAGATAGGCATTCTGGTGTAACAATTTTTTTCACGGGAGTAGGCTCAGATAAGCGTTCTGGAATAACATCGATAACTGTATCAAACGGAGATGGTAAAGGATTGTCCAACAGCCCGCTTTGGTTCCCAGGTGCAATATCTTTTGCTCGACAGAAGGCATTGATGCTATAGAGCGTTGTCCAAAATGCCCGCAACCTCTTCTGGGCATCGAAAACTATGGGTGTCAACTCTACTCCGTCGTTGACTACTACTTCCTCTTTTACAGAAGAGAAGCGTCTGATGCTCCGGACGGTGATAGATATGACTCGCCACCTCTTCTGGACTTGGCACCTCTTCTGGGCTCGAGTGGGAAGTAGTGGCGACTCGACAGCATTGAAACTTGCTTCTGAAGTGTCGCTCATTATTGATTTTTTTTTTTTGTGGGGGACAAAAAGAGGTAGTTTTGAACGTTGTCAGTTTATTCTTGAGTATCAGATTGATGTCACTGCCTGTATTTATACATATTTGAGATAGAGAAGAAATAGCACTTTCCTTCGAATTTACCGTGTTTGATCACCACCACTGAGGAGGAAACATGGACGAAGTTTCGTCCATTCCCTCGTATATATATTTTTTATGTAGCAAATTAGTGATCGTCTCTTTTGGCTTCTCTCTTCTGTTCTGTAGCTATTTGTCAACCTGAGTTTTGGTTCCTGGCAGTTGTTATGGGGATAAGACATTAATGATTTCACCATTGTTTTCATCGTCAGCAGAAAAGTCGCTGTCTTTGTACGATACCCCTCGTCACAACATCACTATATATATAGCGTCAGCTTCTACGGGTCATGCATCATGGATCTGCATGCCTCAACATACGGAAGTCTCTGTATAATTCTGCTGGTTGATTAACATACTATGTAATTAAGGTGGCATTACTAACTTTCAAGCTTTTTATTTGTTACAGAAAAAAAATCCCTTTCCTTGTTCGCAAAATTCAATTCTTTTTTACTTTCTTTGCTCCCCTTATAAGGTTCAAAATTTTCCTTAAACAACAACGACAACAATAATAGTGGTGAATGACCTCTTTTCTTCCTGGATGACAATGCTGCAAATTCTTGCACTAAAGTAATTTTTGCCGATGCCTCGAAGGAATTACTTGCTCATAATGGGACCAATCATCTTGGAATCATTAGGCACTGTAATATGACTTCTTTGAATGTGTAGCAACTTAATTACGACTTCTTCAAATATAGCTGTCGACTGGCCTTTGATGAATTCGTGTAGGAGCTGTCGCAGTAGCAAGGATTCTTAAAAAGTTTCACAACTTTGATTGGCCCAAAAAAAAAATTATATATATATATATACACACACACACGACTCATATTACAATTTGGATGCAAAGCTATCTTTTTGACTATCTTTAAACAATTTGGCAGCTTTTGTTAAGTCTGAGATCACAACTCTGTCATATGTTTAGGGCCATTTAGAATGCTATTTTTTGAAGTTTTTATTGAAAATTGTATGAAAGCGATCTGATGTATGTCAATGACGGAGCCAAGGGGGGCCCAGGGGGTCATAGCCCCCTCTAAGTTTTGAAAATTTTAATTAATAATATCGAAATATATGTGTAAAACAAAGTTGACTCCCTTAATTTTTTACAATGTTAGTTTCTATTATGAAATTTTCAAAGCCTAAATATATGATTTTATGATCCATAGTAAATTGACCCAATTTGATATATTATAATAAAATGACCTAATACATAATTATCAATGGGCTAAAACAAAAATAAGCACTTTATTGGTATATATATATACAACTTAGTCCAATTGATTAGACTTGTTCTCACTCCTATTCCTGTATCAACTGCAACTATAGAATGTGCATTTCTGATTATGAAGATAGTCAAGACAAAAGCTCCGAAATAAGCTCAAAGATAATTTATTGAAAGATTGCCTAATTGTTTACATAGAAAAGAAAGTTATTGAAAAATTTAGCATTGATTTAATCATAGATGAATTTATTTCTATGAAAGTAGTCAGTTTTATATTACATAGTTATATATATATATATTGCATAGGTGACGTATTGGAGCATCTTATCATAATGTGCAACTTGGGTGGTTTGTGATGTTATAAAATATTTAATCAAATGTTATTTCTTGTCTTAATTTTTGTTATGACTATGTTGTATATTATAAAATAGAAAAATACCTTTATAATTAATGTTAACATTTGATGTTTTTAGATGTCATATATTTGAATAGATGAAAATTATTTTGATTTTCAGATATCATATATTTAAATAGATGAAAATTATTTTGAACATAACACATTAAGATAATTTTGTTAGGAAAAATTTTGGCCCCCTAGAAAAAAGTTTTGGCTCCGTCACTGTTATATGAGAAGTAAAAAAGTGATTGAAAAGTGTGTTTACGGAAAAAGTTTTAAAAAAATGCCTTCAATTGCGGATTGAATACAGAAGTTTCCTAGGAATTACGCTGAGGTAACAGAACCCTTCCCTAGCTTTAGTTTCCTTTTTGCACAAGTTTTCTTGGCTCGAATGGAATTTCCTTTCCATTTCCTTGGACCCTGCTTGAAACGTACGAGGAAATTTGACTTGTTTTCCACCTATGCTTATCATGTCAATGCATACTGCTGTCTCATCCAAATTTGCTTCATCTCATGTTAATTTCAATTCATCTATGGTGTCGATACAAAAACTTTATTCTACATAAAGTGTAGGATCATTTCGTACTGAATTTCCAGCAAATTTGTTCGAGAAAAACCAACCCACCAGGCAAAAGTAGCCGAACGAGATGCTGGCAGGGGAAATTTACATGTTTCTCATTCTTAAAGGAAAATTTGGGATATTTCTACTGTAGCACTTTTTGTGATGTGATGTATGTGAGATAAAAGGAAATTGGGAAGATAAAAAGGTGTATTGGAAATTGTAATGATGATATAAACAAATAAAATTGGGGAAATAATGCTCAATCCAAACAAACCCGTTACATAATTAGTTCTTGAGAAAAAAAAAAGAACAAATCTTGAAAGTTGTTTAGCCCAATTATACACAGTTTCCTTGTTCTTTTATCTCCCTTAACATATACTACTAGCATACATAAATTGCATAGCCAGTTCAACTAAGTTATGGAACTTCAATTTGCCCATTATAAGTTTTAATTTTGGATCAATCTTTCCAACACTGTCAATGTATACATTTATAGGTTTAGATACATGTCACATTATCTCAATTGAATTTAAATATCAAATTTTATATATGTAACATGCATCTAAATCCGCCAAGATAATAGTGACCGTGTACAAAACATTTATCCTTTAATTTTACCATTTTTGTCTTAAAGTCGTATTGTTCCTTCAAATTCTGTTATCACGTGGTGGCTACTTCTTCTTGGCTACATATCAATGGGCTTGGGTTTGAGATACATCTCAGTCTTTAGACGTCCAAAATGATTTGTCTAAGTCATTGAACCACGTTGGGCCCAAATTCGTCAATTAGACTTTATGGATCTTGGCTATTCTTTATATTCATTAGCAGAAAATCATGAGTTTGCTTATGAATATTGCGAATAGCTCAAGAAGCAAGAATTTGTAATATGTATCCCAATGTTATGGTGGAGTCTAATCATTTTCTAAACTAACAAGTCAGCATAAACTACTACGAAACTTTGTGATATTGCTGTTTTCCTAATAACAAATAGTAGAAGTTGTTTGATTTATTGGTAAGTGTAAATATTGAACTCAGCAAGAATTTACCACAAAAGTACATTACAGAAGCAAACTACAGAAGATATTAAAACGAAACTTTGAGTACACTACTCCATTATACATGCATTTGAAGTTGTTGGTTTTTTTTTTTTTTTTTTTGCAAAAAAAGCTTATAAGAGACTTTTATTGAATCTTAAAATGAACTTATGTTATTCATTCATCAAGTTACAATTTATAATGATTACAAGTAGTAAACTAACAAAATATCATATTATCCTAAAAATCTCAACAAAAACTACTTGATAACATGCAAATCTTAGCTAAAATATTTAATAACAAATCAATATGATTTTTTGATTAATAAATATTCTTATTCTTCTGCTAACTAGTTACGCTCCGTTTGGATTGGCCATTTTTTTAAAATAAGTTTTTTTAAATATAATGCTACAATAATACACAATAACTCAAAAAACATCTCATCCATACAATATATCAAATATTTCAAAAAATTTTTATTATAAAAATTTTTCATATATACTGCTACAATAAAATTTTCAAAAACACCCCAAAAAATAGTTAATCCAAACGGAGCATAATTATTCTGAACCTAAATATAATCTAGTAAATTTTGTAGGAAAAGTTGACATATTTCAACAGAAGTTCTTCCACTTGAGATAACTGAACACTGGTCTGTCCGGAACAGGCATGCACTTAACAATCCAGCCAATTGGCCAGGATGCAGCTGCGATTCCTATACAAGCTCCCCATTGCCCCCAATTCAACCTTTCTGTATTAGCAAACCTCTTCAAAAACTCCACCATCACCACTTGAAGAATAATTGTTACTCCAATAATTCCCAAGAACAACTTGTTCCTGTGTATCCCCTCAAACACATTCTTACTCTCAAGTTTCCTTGCGTTGAACTCATTGAACACTTGGCAAAGAACAAAAGTGTTGAAGATCAACGTAGCGTTTACCTTTTCGCTAACACCAAAGATTGATTTTCCTTTGAACTGTAATGTCAGCAAAACTGCTATCTGATACAAGGCTTGAGACATTAAGTTCCTCCACATGATGTTGGTGATGAGGGGTTCAGTACGCCCCACCGGAGGCTTGTCCATCAGATCCTTTGTTGGTCTTTCTGTTGCTAGCGCTAAGGCTCCAAGAGTATCCATGATGAGATTTACCCACAAGAGTTGAACTGCTGTTAATGGTACTTCTCCAGCTGAAATTGCTGCTACAAAGTTGATCACTAGAGCTGCCACATTCACTGTGAGTTGGAACTGAATAAATTTCTGGATATTGCTGTACACACACCTTCCCCATGTAAGCACTGTGGCAACAGAAGCAAAATTGTCATCCAAAATGACAATATCTGAACTCTCCTTGGCGACTTCAGTGCCCTGAATCCCCATAGAAAGTCCTATATCAGCTTCTTTCAATGCTGGCGCGTCGTTTGTTCCATCTCCAGTCACTGCTACAACATGACCTTTCTCTTTTAAGCATTTCACCATGAGATGCTTGTCAAAAGGAGACGATCTCGCCATTACAACAATTTTATCAACTTTTTCCATCCGTTCCTCATCTGTGTAGTTGCGAAATTCGACACCTTCTACCACCAATTCATCGTTAGCCTCAAGATCGGGCTTAAGTATTCCACATTCAGTGGCTATTGCTCTTGCAGTGAAGACATTGTCGCCAGTGATCATTTTGATCTTCACACCAGCATATTGACAATCTTCCACAGCTTTCTTCACACCGGGGCGACAGGGATCCTTTAGGCCTACAATCCCCAAAAGGATCAAGTTTCTGTCTTCTAATGTTTGCTGTATTTCTCCACTGGCATCATTGGCTTCTGTTATTTGCTTGTGAGCAAATGCAATGCATCTCAGACTGCTAGCAGCCATGCCCTGTATTATTTCTTCAAATTTCTTCCTCTCAAGA